AATAAGAATGGTAATATGTTTGTAATGTTGTATCACAATAAGACAGGTAATATGTTTGTAATGTTGTATCACAATAAGAATGGTAATATGTTTGTAATGTTGTATCACAATAAGACAGGTAATATGTTTGTAACGTTGTATCACAATAAGAATGGTAATATGTTTGTAATGTTGTATCACAATAAGAATGGTAATATGTTTGTAATGTTGTATCACAATAAGACTGGTAATATGTTTGTAATATTGTATCACAATATGACAGGTAATATGTTTATAATGTTGTATCACAATAAGACTGGTAATATGTTTATAATGTTGCATTTCAACAAGACAAGTAACATGCTTATAAAGTTATATCACAATAAGAATGGTAATATGTTTATAATGTTGTATCACAATAAGACTGGTAATATGTTTGTAATGTTGTATCACAATAAGACAGGTAATATGTTTGTAATGTTGTATCACAATAAGACTGGTAATATGTTTGTAATGTTGTATCACAATAAGAATGGTAATATGTTTGTAATGTTGTATCACAATAAGACTGGTAATATGTTTGTAACGTTGTATCACAATAAGAATGGTTATATGTTTGTAATGTTGTATCACAATAATATTGGTAATATTTTGTAATGTTGTATCACAATAGGACTGAATATTGTTTAAGTCCTTTCATTATTTATTGGTTTAATACGGTCTTCTATTAAGCACAGTGTGTAAAGTAATTGTAAGTATACATTGTTTGTTGTATACCGTTACCGACATGAGTTTCGCTCAAGATCAAAGGTCACTTGAGTTGGATATATTTTTTATTAGTCGGTTGTGAATCAATATATCTTTGGAATTGAAATATATTAAGTGTACGGAAGTTAAATTTAGCAATAATATATTTAATCATAAAATTAGGTGATATAACGTTTAATAGATACTTTATTGAAGGTATTATCCAAATGCTTGTACTAGTTTCGATGGATCACAGACCCACCGTCATCAGGAAGGAAACAGTAGCGAAAGACGGTTCAGACATTTACGTACATTTTCATATTTTGCTTATGACAGAAGGTCTCGAGCGAAAAGTTAGCATAAAAGTAATATCACTTATTTATCTTTTGCTCTTAAAATAGATTTTCCCAAATGAATTCCTGCAACCCCTGAACTAGAACTTCTATTTAAAGTTAACTTCGAATTATTAAACGTTTCTTTCATATTTAGTTCGTATCTCTTATTTGAATATTTAATCAATTTAACGTTATTCAGATCATAACTGTGAGAAAGAGAGTTGCTTGTCATTTGTTCAGCTAAAGATGATTCAATAATTGTCTGTTTTTCTATAGCCGATTCATGTTCATGAAGATCATTTTTAAAGTTCTACATGTATGGTCAATATAAGGTTAACCACAGTTACAGGAGATTTTACCAACAGCACATTTATCTACTAAAGGGAATTTATCTTTAAAACTAGAAGTAAAATTACTAAGTTTGACAAGGGACGAAAAAATGTAGTCAACAATTAATGTATTTTTTTAAAATGTTACCTATATATGGGGAGGTTATATGAGCATTTGGCAGACAAATATTCCTTTTATCAACATTAGCAATCGTATGTCTCCCGGTGGGACAGCGGTAAGTTTGGGGACTTACAACGCTAAAATTTGGAATTTGATTCTTCGCGGTGGACACAGCAGATAGCTTAACGTGACTTTGCTCTAAAACAAACAAGGATATGTTTAGTACATCGGGAATTTTTTAATTTATTTCAAAACTTATTATAAATTATATCCACGATATTATCATTAAATATTCTGTCAACGTCAACGTGTTTCAAGAAATCGAACTTGAATACTAACTCTTCTCTATACGAACAAATTTTTATAGCTTTGTACGTATACATGGTAAAAGGTGGAGAACAGGGACAACACGACCTCTTGTGTGGCGACATTAGCTTTGTATGTATACATGGTAAAAGTGGAGAATAGGGACAACACGACCTTCTGTGTGGCGACATTAGCTTTGTATGTATACATGGTAAAAGCTGGAGAACAGGGAGAACACGACCTCTTGTGTGGCGACATTAGCTTTGTATGTATACATGGTAAAAGGTGGAGAACAGGGAGAACACGACCTCTTGTGTGGCGACATTAGCTTTGTATGTATACATGGTAAAAGTGGAGAATAGGGACAACACGACCTCTTGTGTGGCGACATTAGCTTTGTATGTATACATGGTAAAAGTGGAGAACAGGGAGAACACGACCTCTTGTGTGGCGACATTAGCTTTGTATGTATACATGGTAAAAGCTGGAGAACAGGGGCAACATGACCTCTTGCTTGGCGACATGAGCTTTGTATGTATACATGGTAAAAGATGGAGAAAAGGGACAACACGACCTCTTGTGTGGCGACATTAGCTTTGTATGTATACATGGTAAAAGTGGAGAATAGGGACAACACGACCTCTTGTGTGGCGACATGGTAGCAGAAATTTTTTTTTCCAATAAACTTAATTAACAATTAAATTTTTACTCTCTATTAATTAAAGTATCTAAGAGGGTTAAGTTACTTTCCTGTTCCATTTCCAATGTAAAGTATATTGCAGGAGTTACCGAATTCACATATTTCTCGAATTTTATCAATGTGTCGTTCCCATTCCACCACTAGAGGAACGTGTCTTAAAACATTCCTCATCGACATAATGGGTTTAACCAAATATGTTCTTGGTGTCTTTGATTCAAACTCAAACAATAACGACTCGTAGAGAAGTGGTGAAACCGGACAGCCCACTGCCAAACCTATCAACTGTTTATTAAAAACAATATCTACGTTCAAAAACTTCTAAAGCTTCTTCTACTGAAACAATGGTAAATAAGGGAACAATACATATTGGTCTGTCGATATTAATTTAGCCTCCTTAATTTTATTGATAAAGTCTAAAGAATTCTTAACAGTATATGCTTGTGTATTACTTAACCAGGTACACTTTCTAACAACAAACTTAGCAGCTTGATAAGTCTATTTTATAGCACCATATTGAGCTATCTGCTGTGTCGAACCCTTGATTTTAGCGCTGTAGACTGTAGATTTTGGACTTAG